ATACTCATCGAGTTGCAATGTTGCCTTGAGCTCGTTAATAACTCTATGACAGCCTGTCGTGATATGGATTTTGCGTAGTGCCAATCCTGCGCCAATGCTTGAGCCTCTCTGTATGCATATGCTTCCAATGTTTCAGGTTCTGTTATTCCTTAAAAAACTACCGTCGAAGCTCCAAGACACATCCCATGTTCATCTCTGCAAACCACTCCCACTGCTCCCTTGTTTATGTTCTTGGCCACTGGCGCATCAGCGTTCAATCTCGTATGTTTCGAAAGAGGTGTCCTTCAAGCTTGTGGGACTCGGGTTGTAGCTGAAAGGTTTCTCCTGCATGGACCGGGGTTGTAGACTCCAATTGGGATCTCTCTCTCTCCTTTTTAGTGGTTTTAGGACCTCTCTTTGCAGCGACTAGGACAGGGAAGCAACTAATTAACGAGCGCTCCTTCGGGAGCCTCGTAGCGATCAACGCCACTTGGCGCGCTATCAGCCATTCGCCACGAGTCGCGCTCTGGGCGCTCCCTCCGGATTTTTTTTATTTTGCCGCATGCGTTTTTGGCTTTTTAAACGGTTTTTTCCCAGTTTTTTGACGTTTTGGTTTTCCACCGGTCTTCCCTAGCTTTTCGACCAAAAAAGATTTCAAAAAAAAATTGCGCAAAAAATTGGATTTTTTTCGCGAGAGTCACGGTTTTGTTTTCACGAGAGGCACGGTTGTGCTTTCGCGAGAGGCATGGCCGTGCCTCTTGGAAACGGAAAAAAACGCGTTTTTTGTTTTGTTTTCCTTTCGTGAGAGCCACAGTTTTGTTTCCGCGAGAGGCACGGTTGTGCTTTCGCGCGAGTCACGGCCGTGCCTCTTGGAAACAAAAAAACACGTTTTCTGTTTTTTTTTTCTTTTGTGAGAGGCACGGTTTGGCTTCCGCGAGAGGCACGGTTGTGCTTTTGCGAGAGTCATGGCCGTGCCTCCTCGGAAATGAAAAAAAACGCATTTTCAGTTTTTTTTTCTTTCGCGAGAGGTACGGTTTTGCTTCCGCGAGAGGCACGTTCAGGAGATCAATGGAGACCATCTCTAGGTACTTCAAGCAAGTGCTTTTTTGCTATTGGGGAGCTTAGAGGAGAGATGATCAGGAGACCATCTGGTCAGACTCCACCCAAGATTCGCGGAAGCCCAAGATGGTATTCATACTTCAAGGTGAGCATTGACAATATACACTTTTCATGGCTTGATATGCTTGTATTGTTCAAGTTGAGCACTAACACAAGCTTGTGATGCCATTTTCAGGACTGCATTGGGGCAATAGATGGTACTCATGTCACTGCTAGAGTTCCTAGGTCACAATCTGCAGCATACAGGGGGAGGAAGCACTACACAAGCCAGAATGTGCTTGCTGCTGTTGACTTTGATCTGAAGTTCACATATGTGCTGGCTGGCTGGGAGGGGTCAGCGCATGATGCAAACATCCTCCCTGACAGCATGAGTCGACCTGATGGCTATGCATGTCGGCCGGGTATTCTTCCACCCTTCACGAAAACAAGGTACCATCTCAACGAGTTCCCTGGTAGGAACTTTTCCTAGGACTGCACAGGAGCTGTTTAATCTCAGACACTCCAGCCTTAGAGTAACTGTTGAGAGGGCATTTGGAGCTCTGAAGAATAGGTTTAAGATCTTGAATCAGAAGCCATTCCACCCATACTCCACTCAAGTTAAGCTAGTTCTTGCTTGTTGCATTCTGCGCAACTGGATCCTCCAGTGGGGCTTTGATGAACACGTGCCTGAGGAGGAAGAGGTCGAGCCTGACGATGTTGTTAGCTCTGGCCATGGTGTGGAGGCATTTGACAATGACGCTTGGAAGAACAAAAGGTTGGAGTGGGCAGAGGCAATGTGGCTTAACAGAGGTCAGTGCAGGATTTGAAGAAGAGGAAGAAGAAACAGCAGCAGCAGAAGCACAGAAGAAGAGGAGGAAGAAGAAGAAGCAGCAGCAACAGCAGCAGAAGCAGAAGAGGAAGATGAAGAGGAAGATGAAGTAGCAACACCGATGTACTATCCCCTATTTAGCCAATGGCTCTTAATAATTTGAACTGTCATTTGATTGTAGTTAGGATGAACTGTCATTTGTATAACTAGCTGGCACTATGTTCAGATTGTGTGTGTGGTAAGGTCACCACTAGTTAGAAGTGGTGACAACACCTTATGCAGGTTGCAACCAAACACCATGTCATATGTGCACCTAATACAATGCAGGCAACCAAACGCTGGGTCAAAAATGGTTGTCTCATGCAACTAGGGGCATGCAGGCAACCAAACTATGTGCATCTGGGGTTTTTTGGCCTGCATCCCCTCAAACCGGCTCAATGGAGCCAGACTCGCGGGGGCAGGCTGAGTCGGCAATGTAACCAAACACGCCCTAGGGCTCAGGAGTCATATGCGACTCTGTTCGCATCCCTATCGCCGTCGACGAAAGCCGAGCCGATGCTATAGAAGGGGTCATGGTTGAGCTTGCGTCCCAGATCTGAGCAGTGGTGGGGCTCCGAGTACAAAATAGAGGCCACCTGCAGCGTCGCACGCCACCGAGGCCACAACGTAGGCTGCCGAACCTCACGGCTGCCGTCCACTAGCCGCCGGCGCCGCCAAAGACTCTGGCCGCTTGCCTCCGAAACCGCTCACCGCCCGACTATCGACGAGCACCGCCGGTGACTTGCCGCCGAGCAGCCCCCGTCACCGCGCCGCCTTTCACCTCGTGCTCTTCACGGTCGAGAACAGAGTTCTTTCCAAAACATGAAACCGTTCTAATCCGATTAGAAAATCACGGGAACGTGAGCTTAGCTAATCTCCTAAACTGTTAGCAAATAAAATAACCTCGATATCAAGGTAATTTTACAATGTAATGTGGGACCAGTAAATTTACCTCGAGAAGGACAAATCTTACTGCACAGCGGCTAGTGGGATGGGATGCGATTGGAGACAACACAATTCTCTGGCTCGATCGTTCGACCGGGGTGAAGAATAATTCTTCACCCTACACACACACACACATTATACTTGGTTTTTCTTGAAAAACATGTTTTGCCGGGCTTCGGGCCAGGCCATGGGCAAGAAAGTGAGGTCTGAACCTGGCCCATATGTTGGACTTCAGGTCGGGCTGCTCGGCCCGGGCCACATATGCCCAGGTCTACTTGGTAGTTAGCTCGCTTGTTCGTGTGGCGTCACAACGAGTGGAATTAGCCCCAATTGTGCCGGTTACATATATCCTGTGCACGACGCGCATCTCTCCCCTTCGATCAATTTTCTACGGGGTGGCCCATAGGTATTCGGCCACATTTCGGTCGCTTGTTTCATGACTAGAAGCTTCCTCGCTAGTTTCGGGAACCTTTTGGAATCTTCCAACTTTTTTTATAGTATTTTGGTTTTCTCGATGGTTGTTGTTCAGTTTTATTATGTTTTTATTCTATTTTTAAAAAAAATCATAATTTTTTAAATACATGAACTTTTTCAAATTCATGATCTTTTTTAAAATTCATGAATTTTTTTCAAATTCGTGATTTTTTCCAAATCTTGTGTACTTTTTGCCTCAAATTCAAGAACTTTTTTCAATTTCAATATTTTTAAATTTCATGGATTTTTTTCAAATGTTGTGAACCTTTTTCAATGTTGACTTTTTTCCATAAATTCATGAAGTTTTTACGAATTGGTGAACTTTTCATTCTTTTGGATTTTTGTATCTCAAATTCTTTAATTGTTCCCTGAATGACGTGATTTTTTTTATTTTGTGAACTATTTTTAAATTCATATTTTTTTCACATTTATTGAACTTTTTTTGAAATTCATTGGCATTTTTCAAACTAGTCTATGACAAACTAGTCAATGGCCAGAAGTCAAACTAGTCAATGGTCGGAGGTCAAACTAGCCAGCTACATCCTCTGTTCCTAAATGTAAGACATTTTGGCAGTTCAATATAAACTACCAAAACGTCTTATATTTAAAAACAGAGGTAGTATATTAGAGGTTAGTAGCTTGCGTTTTTTGGGCAAAGCAGCCTGCGGTTCGTGAAGCCAGGCAAGCGCGGTGACCAATTTTTTTTCTATTTTCCAATTTTTTTTGAGTCGATACAACGCTTTTTATTTAGACATCAAGAGTTTGTTGGATACAAAGATTACTGGGAGAAGTAGAGAGCCAAACATGAAGTCCCACTTCGAGACTAACAGTCTACGAGAGTTAATCTCTCTCACTATCATATAATACTCATCGAGTTGCAATGTTGCCTTGAGCTCGTTAATAACTCTCTGACAGTCTGTCGCGATATGGATTTTGCGTAGTGCCAAATCCTGCGCCAATGCTTGAGCCTCTCTGTATGCATATGCTTCCAATGTTTCAGGTTCTGTTATTCCTTAAAAAACTACCGTCGTAGCTCCAAGACACGTCCCATGTTCATCTCTGCAAACCACTCCCACTGCTCCCTTGTTCATGTTCTTGGCCACTGCCGCATCAGCGTTCAATCTCGTATGTTTCGAAAGAGGTGTCCTTCAAGCTTGTGGGACTCGGGTTGTAGCTGAAAGGTTTCTCATGCATGGACCGGGGTTGTCGACTCCAACTAGGATCTCTCTCTCTCTCTCTCTCTCTCTCTCTCTCTCTCCCCCTTAGTGGATTTTTTTTTGAGAATTCTTTTTTAGTGGATTTAGGACCTCTCTTTGCAGCGACTAGGACAGACTAGAAAAGGAAAATCTGTCGCGGACTGCGTGTGTCTATTAGGGCCCAGGTCACATAGTGTCGGCCCATGGGCTATGGTCATCCCGACACGGATCCTAATACCGACCTGAAGAAGGCAAGTCCCTCAAAAAAAAAAAAGACCTGAAGAAGGCAAGGCTAGGGTTGCTGATGCCCTTATATACATCGAGATGCCGCCGCACCCCCTTCTCAACCCAATCACGCGACCAATCGCAGCGAGGCAGATTACCATCGGCGAGGCGAGGCGAGTCGATTAGCAGCTGATCAAGATCACAAGGCGCCGCCGATGGCCGGCAAGGATGATTCCGCCACCAATCCCGTGCTGGGAAGGAACAGCACAGGTCAGAAGATGGTGACCGGCGAGGAGGGTTCCACCAACCGCACGCTGGATCTATGCACTGGGGAGCGGAGCCGGGGCACCGACGGGGAGGGCACGCTGGAGCGCTGCACCACCGAACCTATCGTGGTGACCGGCGAGCACACTATTCTCAAAAGGAAGGCCAAGGAGGAGATGTACCCTTCTCCTGAGCAGGAAAAGGTCAGCTTTCCCAACCCATTCGCTAGGAAGTCAGCCATCGACGAAATGGTCGCCACGGCAAAACTCCCGATGCGAGCTGATGTTACTGTGGCCGCCCCTATCCAGCAAGTCCCGCGGCAGGAAGGGACCAAGACCACCGAACCTATGATGGTCGACCCCTTCCTCGGACAGGAGATTGTTAAGGTGGTTTCTGATATCCAGGCTGATCCTGAGATCGGGGAGGCGGTTTCTGATCTTCAGGCTGAGTTTGAGATCGAGGAGGCGGATTCTGATCCTCAGCCTGAGGACCAGGATGGTTACGATGATGAGGCAGAGGATGATTATGGTTATGAGGATGAGGATGAGGATGATTATGACTACGAGTCTGGATATGAGGATGAGGATGACTGGGAGTCTGAATTTTTGGAGCAAAGGCCGAAGGTCAAGGCTGTGTTGTTAAACTTTCCTGAGGCTGCAAAGTTGGAACCTCATGAGCTGGACGCCGCAGTGGAGAGGATCCTGGAGCAGTCCAAGCCTGAGAACGCCTCTGTGGCTGCCTCAGGCAAGGTTCGGCTGTTGAGTGCAGACATCCAAGCAATCTTGGCCCGGAATAGGCAGCCCCCCATCATCCATGACCTCGCTTCCAAGGGCACATTATACCCGGCTGATTTGATCCGGAGAAGGGAAGAGCTGGACAAGGAATTTGAGAAGGTTCAAGATGATTTTGAAGAGTTTCAGGCTAAGGTGCGCACGGATTTGATCGAGAAGGGGTACACCGAGGTCGATGAGGACTACTATGATAACAGGGACAAATTCGACGACGGGTTGCAGGACCGGTTGCAGGAAGAGTGGAACAAGATTGACTTTAGCCGCTTTTATATTGCCAAAAACGACAAGGGGATTGCCTATTATTCCGAAGAACATGGGTGTTACATATAATGCCGGGCGAGGTGCAGATTTCTTCCAATATTATGTCTATCCATCTATACAACTTTGTATGCAGCAAAGTTAGTTTGTGGGTTGGTTCATTGTGCCCATCTATGTTTTATACTGTGATCCATTGTATGTTCAACGGCAATAACTCTGCTTGTTCCTGTGTGTTTGGGTTTGGTCTGGTATTTGATTTGGACCACGTTTTGGGGGTGTTGGGTATGATTTCTTTGAACGTCTTGCATCATTAGTGCCCAACCCTGTAGCACGCGTGGAGCTTCGTCTTGCAGCAGCGTCACCTGTTACCAATGTAACACTGCCGCCTTCTTGCTCGTATGCTGCAATGCGGCGTTGCTCGCCACCTCCCATACAGCATCGCCACCCTGCCGGAATCTTCATGCAAGCCCTCGCCAGACCACATCGGACCATCGCTGCTAAAGAGAGGCAGCACCCGTACGAGTTTCTGTTCCGCGCCGGAGCCCTCGTGGTACCGCAAAACCTTTTTCTTGGTTTTAGGCAAATCATGATTTTGAACAAAATACAATCTTAATACAACAACAATATAAATCAAACTTGTTAATGTTTTAATCATCTCAATTACAACAAATATTTAAATCCAAAAATTAGAATGATACGAATGGTACGGAATGAATAGAATTGTTCAAATCACACATGTATACAAATATGATCAAATGAATAAAATGGGAGGTCCATCTCCCATACAGTTGCCATTGAGAGTCTTGTCTCCCATATCATCATGGAGCTGGGTGTGTGTAGCATTGTCCTCAATCTGAAAGGATCTGATCTGATTTCCTCTTAGGCTTATACATCTACCAATATTGTCATAGAAAAACTCTTTAAGTTTAAATCCCGCTCATCCTCAATAATTATGTTGTGCAAGAGGGATTTCTTATCCCAAAAGCAAGTATTACCTCGAACAATGGGAAGCCGATCTTGCAACGCACCAACTGCCCTCCCAATATCCTTTCGGCATGCTTATTGTGCTCGGGGCTTTTGGCTTACTGATGGTCTTCACAAATGTTGACCATGAAGAATAAATACCGTCGGCAAGATAATACCCAATGTCCATGGACGGTGTAGTTCCAAGCCAGAGCATCTCCACTAGCAAGCTGAGCAAAAAGATGTGATCTTTGCAATATATCATTGAGACTTTGAGAGAACCTGACAATCCAAAGAAGCAATGCCAAAACTGTTGGGGATATAACTATTAGGTATGACCCGCCCGGGGGGGGGGGGTTATACCTATGGCGACTCAAGGATATGAAGCCCAAGACGACACTTGAAGATGGCGGTTCAGCTAAGGGCCCAAAGCCCAAAGGCGACTTAAGGCCCGTAGAGATAAACCGCCATATGTATGTAACTTGTATTGTAAGGCAAGAATAGTTAGAGACCGAGCCAGACACTGTTTATGAGCCGGCCTGGACTCTGTGAGCCGCTGGGCGTCGACCTCTGTATATAAAGAGACGACCCGGCGGCGGTCCAGGGCAAGTAAGATCAGATCGAGAGCTAGGTAAAGCGATTCCGCTCCCTGGTAATCGAGACATAAGCAATCTCATTCAAAACTGGATCGTAGGCTTTTACGTTCATCGTAAGGGGCCGAACCAGTATAATCCCTATGTCCTTTGTCCCGATTAACCCCTTTAAGCTTCCTAGTTGCGATGGCTCCACGAGTAAGTCCTTTCACTAGGACATCTGACATGACAATTCCACGATAGTTGGCGCCCACCGTGGGGCCAGCGCACGGTGGATTTGTGTTCTTAAAGGGCAGCTTCGAAGGGCTCAAGGGATACGTTGTGGGCCGGATGACCAAGAGTCGTCGCGGCAAGCTCTACATCGACGACGCAGGCTGGGGCCCCGAGGCCGGCTCAATTGAGTACGGGTACCGGCTCCCCTTCGACGGAATCCACGTCTTCATCGGCAAGATCGGCGAACCGGGCCCTGAGCCGGACATCTGCACCGACCTCGTCGAGACGGCTCAGCGTGTGAGACCCGCCCAGGCTCAGCCTGCTATGAAGCATGCCTTCGTGGGATGCATCCACGGAGGGTAACTTTCTGAAGGATCTGTTGGCCGGTGAGACGGCCATGTACTCTGATGGCGAGTCGTCCACAGGTGAGACGGATTCGTTCTATCAATTGCAAGACGCCGGGCTTGGGGCTGCTCCGATGGCAGTAGTATTCCGGACCTCCTTGAGCCGCCGAGCAGAGTCGGGATCTTCATGGATGGCACGCAACCCGTTCAAAATTCTATGACTACGGCAGCGATAAACTCCGGGTCAGCGGCAGCCGGGGCAGGAGGCCCTGTGCGCCCGCCGGCTCAAATGTTGATGGATCTCATGGATAAGATGACAGCTCTGTTAACGGCCGCAGTCAACCCAACGGATCAAGCTCAACATGATGCGGAAGTGGCGCAGTTAAAACAGGATATAGTGCAGGCTAAGGAAGACCTGGCGGCGGGAGATGTCAAGATGACCGCAGAGCGGGCGGCTCTGGACGCTCAGGCTCAGCAAATTTAGTCGCAGGCTTTCCAACTAACGATGGACCAGAACGCCTCAAACAAGGTCATGAGGAGAAGGTACCAGAAAAGTCAGTCCCGTCTGCCTCCGGTTTATGATCCTCGAAACCTCTTCCGGACGCCCGTGGCAGGGCCCAGTAACCCGCCGGAGGTAAACCGGGTTGTAACACCGGGGGTTGGGACGCCGGTTCAACCACGTACGATGGAACCTCCCCGTATGAATACTACTCCGCCTCATTATGTACCAACGCCACCGGGTCATTATTCTAACCCTTTGGAGAACATGATTGCTGCGGCGGCACGATTGGCGACTCTCCTGGTGGAGGGCGACTCTCTGATGGTGGTTGAAACTCGCAGGGTCAGAGAGCTTCTTCAGACGGCGTTAGCACAACAGGAGGCGTACTCGTATAGCCGAGACAGGATTCATTCAACCCCTCGTCCAAGCCGGAGCCCGAGTTATAGCAGGCACATGGATTCAGTGGCCGTTTCAAGCAACGCCCGACGCCGTGACCAGCCGTGCGGGCATGACCCGGCGCGTGATGGAGCTCTTAACTTGGTTGATCGGGACAGAATACGTCAAGAGGCTCAACGGGCGGCTCAGCAGGCGACTGAACAGGCGGCTCAATCGATGGCTTACTAGCCTTTTCCGGTTTATCCGACGACTTCTATTGAGGCAGGCGTGACCACTAGGACCGGAGGTGTCCCTTGTCTAGTGCCGGCTCTGCGTAACGAGCGTTTGCCCAAGGATTTCAAAGGGCCTCGAAAGGTGCCTAATTACACGGCCGACTTACAGCCTGGGGCGTGGATTGAAAGCTACGAGATGGCTATGGAGTTACTGGAGGTCAGTGACGCTGTGATGGCCAAGTACTTCACCATGATGTTGGATGGGACGGCCCGCACTTGGTTGAAGGGGTTGCTGCCTAATTCCATCGGTTCATGGGCAAAGTTAAAAACCCGTTTCATTCAGAACTTCAAAGATACATGCAAGCAACCCATGTCAATTGTGGATTTAACTAATTGCAAGCAAGAGGAGGGTGAGTCCACGACCCATTGGGTGCGCCGGGTCAAAGCCATAATACATTCGTCTAATAAGATGGATGTCGGCTCTGCAGTCTTAATGTTGGAGAAAATTCTCGTTTTGCGCCTCTGAAGATGAAGCTGGGGCGGCTCAAGCACGATTGTAATGACATGGGCCAGCTGATGGCGGCTCTAGTCAAGTACGCCGACTCTGATAGTACCAAGCATCCCGAGTCTGATGATGAAAAGACAGGGAAGGGAAAAAAGAACGGTAACGCCAAGGGTCCTCAGCATAACCCGGCAAATCAAGGAGGTAATAATAAACATAAGGTTGATGGTAGCTTGGAATTTGTGGCTAACACCAATGCGTAGGGCAACAATCAATGACGTAAGGGGAGACCGCCTCCTCGATCCGGCGGGTCAAGCCCCACGCTTGAGCAGTTACTGAATGAGCCCTGTCCAAGGCACGACACTCCGGAGAAGCCGGCCACTCACCTATGGAAGGACAGTACGATCATGAAGGCTTTCAAGAATTCCAACATGTTCGACGGTAATCATGGGTAGGGCGGCGACTCAGGTGGCGACGACTTTCATGGCCCGACGGCGGTTCAAATTCCAATTTTCAAAACTCTCAGGGTAATCAAGGTGGTTATAATCAGCAATCTGGCCAGGGAGGTCAGCAGCAGCAGCAGGGTGGATATCAAAGTAATCCAAAGCAGCTGAATAGTGGACAATATCATGTGTTTACCACCAGTTTGTGCAAACGGGACCAGAAGCTTCATAACAGGGCTGTGAACGCTGTTGAGCCGGCAGTTCCTCGTTATTTGAGATGGTCTGAGCAGCCTATTCTATGGAGTAGGGAAGATCACCCTCCCCGGGTTGACAATTCGGGTCACCTGGCCTTGGTGGCACCTCAGGTTGGTGGATATAAATTCACTAAGGTGCTCATGGATGGAGGCAGTAGCATCAACATCCTCTATTATGAGACTTTTCGTCGCATGGGTTTGTGTCGTGGAATTGTCACGTCAGATGTCCTAGTGAAAGGACTTAGTCGTGGAGCCATCGCAACTAGGAAGCTTGAAGGGGT